TTAAAAAATTCACAAAAATTATTAAAAAAATATAAAAATGAAATCTGAATTATTAAAATAAAATGTGTATATTGTTAGAAGTCTAAACAAATTGGCAACGCTGAATTCGAACTCTGCTATGATTTACAACTAATTTTTCAAATTGTTTCCTAAAATAGAAAAATGGATTATCAAAGCATTAAAAATCGCACAAATATTAGTAAAAAATATAAATTGGTTTCACTGAATTTGGACACTGCTATGATATATTATTAATTTTTTAAATTGAAAATAGAAAAAAAAAAAAGAATACCAAAACATTAAAAATTGCATAAAAATTATTAAAAAATACAAATTGCAAATCTAACTTATTAGAATAAAATGTACGTATTGTCTGGAGTCTAAAAAAATTGATGGCGCTGAGTTCAAACTCTCATATTATTTATTATTAGTTTTTTTATTTTTTTTTCCAAAGATGGGAAAAAGAGATTATCAAAGGATTTAAAATTGCCCTAAAATTATTAGAAAATAGAAAATAAAAAATTGCAATCTAACTTATTAAAATAAAATGTACATATTGTCTAGAGTCTAAAAAAATTGGCGGCATAGAATTCAAACTCTGCAATGATTTATTTTTGCATTACAAATTGCACAAAAATTATTAAAGAAAAGAAAATTACAATCAAACTTATTAATATGTTTTCTGCAACTTTTAATTCTTTGCTAATCCCATTTTTTACTTTTTTTTTGTTTTATGAAAGAATTCCAAAAATTAATATTAAATCATAGGAGAGTCTGAATTCAGCGACGTCAATTTTTTTATACTCTAGACAATACGTAGTTTTTATTTTAATCAGTTAAACTGTTATTTTCTATTTTTTAAAAATATTTTGGAATTTTTAATTCTTTGATAATCAAGTTTTTTCTATTTTAGAGAAAAATTGAAAAATTAATAATAAATTATAAGATAGTTTGAATTCAGCGCCAAAATTTTTTTAGACTTTAGACAATACGTTCACTTTATTTTAATTAGTTAGATTGTAATTTTTTATTTTTTAATATTTTTGTGCAATTTTTAATTCTTTGGTAATCCCATTTTTTCCATTTTAGGAAAGATTTCAAAAATTAATAATAAATCACAGGAGAGTCCGAATTCAGCGCTACAAATTCTTTTAGACTCCAAACAATGAGTACTATTTATTTTAATCAGTTAGATTGCAATTTTCTACCTTTTAATAATTTTTGTGTAATTTTTAATTCTTTGATAATCCTATTTTTTATAATCTAGCGAAGAATTCTAAAAATTAATAATAAATCATATGAGAGTCTGAATTCAACGCTGCTAATTTTTTTACACTCAAGACAATACATACTTTTTATTTTAATCAGTTAGATTATAATTTTATAATTTTTAATAATTTTTGTGGAATTTTTAATTCATTGATGATCCAGTTTTTTCCATTTTAGGAAGGAATTCGAAATATTAATAATAAATCATAGGAGAGTTTGAATTCAGCGCCACAATTTTTTTTAGACTCCAAATAAAACATACTCTTTATTATAATTAGTTAGATTGTAATTTGATAATCCCATTTTTTCAATTTGAGGAAAGAATTCAAAAAATTATTAATAAATCGTAGGAGAGTTCGAATTCAATTCCACCAATTGTGTTAGCTTCCAGACAATACGTACTATTTATTTTAATCAGTTAGATTCCAATTTTATATTTTTGAATAATTTTACTATAATTTTTAATTCTTTAATAATTTTGTTCTTTCTACTTTAGGAAAGAATTGAAAAATTAGTAACAAATCATGAGTCCGAATTCAGAGCTACCAATTTTTTTAGACTCCAGAAAATATGTACTTTTTATTTTAATAAGTTAGATCGCAATTTTTTATTTTTTTTTATAAATTTTTTTCAATTTTTTATTCTTTGGTAATCCCCTTTTTTCATTTTAGGAACGAATTTAAAAAATTAATAATAAATCATAGAAGACTCCGAATTCAGCACTGCAAATTTTTTTAGACTCCAAACAATACATACTCTTTATTTTAATCAATTAGATTTGTAATTTCTACTTTTTAATAATTTTTATGAAATTTTTAATTCTTTGATAATCCCCTTTTTTTCATTTCAGTAAAGAATTTGAAAAATTAATAATAAATCATAGGAGAGTCTGAATTCAGCGCCCGAAATGTTTTTAAACTCCAGACAATACACACTTTTTATTTTAATCAGTTAGATTACAATTTTATATTTTTTAATAATTTTTGGTTAATTTTTATTTCTTTAATAATCCCATTTTTTTCTATTTTAGGAAAGAATTCAAAAATTAATAATAAATAATAGGAAAGTGCGAATTCAGCGTTGCCAATTTTTTTAAACTTCAGACAATGCTTACTTTTTAATTTAATCAGTTAGATTGCAAATTTTTTAATAATATTTGTGCAATTTTTAATTCTTTGATAATCCCATTTTTTATATTTTAAGAAAGAATTCAAAAAATTAATAATAAACCATAGGAGAGTCCGAATTCGGTACCCCAAATGTTTTTAGACTTTAGACAATATATACTTTTTATTTTAATTAGTTATATTACAATTTTTTATTTTTTAATAATTTTTGTACATTTTTTATTTCTTTGATAATCCCATTTTTTATTTTTTAGAAAAGAATCCGAAAAATTAATAATAAATAATGATTGCATACCGACCTAGTACTTAGATTTAACTGCTAACAATTTGCAACTTGGATCCTTAGGCTATTAAACTAGTCAGGGCAGAGCTAAGATTTCATCTTAGAGGAGACAAAAATATAAGCGAAAAATTTGACCAACTGGTATGAAAAATCTTCCCAGAGCTCCCTTAATGAGGATCGAATTAACTGTTATTTTAATAAAAAAAAAATTTCTAAGTTATAATACAAAAAATATAAAAAATCAAAACTTAGCGACTCTATGAAAATCAAAATCAGTATCATATAAATATTAACAAAATATGAACCAAAGGCTAATTTTTTTTCATATTACATTTCAAGTCAATAGTGATTTCAAATCTCAAAAATCATCTAAAATTGATCAATTTTATGATAAAATTTCTCAATAATCTTTTTAATAAATTGATTTTTTTTTTTTGAAAGGCCTAGATGCTTTGGGGTTACTATATTTTACCATTTGTGTGTATTCGTGTATTGTGAAGTTATGAACCGCTAACTTGAGAAAAACAAATTATGGAAAACTACACAATTATTTTTAAAACAAAAGAGTGTCTTAAATAATTGTTGTATTGCCTTTACGCAATATGTAATTTAGGACATTGTACAAATGTTTTACTCAGTTAAAATATATGTTGTTGTTGATTAAGGGAGCGAGTGGACCACTTATGGAAAATAAAAAAGACTATGGCCACTCTACAAATTTTCATGAACTTAGGAGGGGCAATATAATAAGTTAATTGCAGTTAGGAATCTATGATAATGCATATGGACTATTCTTCAAATTTCAGGGGGGTAACTGCGCCAGACCTTTACATGTGGATCCGCCCCTGAAACTAGTAGTTCATTGGGAGTTCTGCAATTATGTATACAATGATGAACTTGCCATTATATCTCTCAGCAGTATTTTTTTCGTGCTCTCAATATTCATTGGACCTTTATTTGTCAGTTTTGGTTTTAATTATTCTTTTATTTGGACCTTATTGACAGTATTTTCTTTTCATAATTCATGAAGACATGTTGGCCAGTGTCTGTTTTTCTTTTTTTGGTGCGCAGAGAAAAACCTTTTTTGATCTGAATACGAATCGAGATTCTTTTTGGTCTCCTTCTTTTCTTTTTTTTTCTTTGACAGTAGAGCATCTCTAGAGAACAACAACCCACCAACTTACTGAAAATATATGCATGTACCCAGTATATTAGGCGCTCGTCTATAACAGAGTTTGGAAGAGTTTTGTGATGTAACGCATTATTTGAATATATGAGCACCTGTTGTTTCTCTTAGCATGAGCTCTTTTTAAAGTTCTTCTATTTTCACTCAATCTAGTGAAATCTACGACAGGTATCCCTAGTAAGTATATACTGCCAAAACTGAAAGGGTGTGTTAATCAGAGAAAAGAGAAATGGTCAGTCAGACCTATCCTCTACAAAATTAAATTTAGACTTGGCTAAGATGAAGTGGCTTGGTAAAGTGGCACTGAGTCCAACTGACGTTTTTATCGCCACTACACTAGCTAGTCCGAAAATATTGCACTGTACTAGTTTGTGTTCAAAACGTTGGTCCAACTAACACTTCAAGTTAAACAAAAACAAAGTTCTACCTTCCTCACCGTATGATATGAAAATGCACGAGGATGAATATACAACTCTAACTTATCTAAATATTTCTGAAAAGCAAGGCGTGCATTACTATGCCAATTTCTTCTTGTTTTGAAGTTTTGAATTGTTGCAATTGCAATACTTTCTTGAGTTAAGCATACAGGATTGAACATTACAAGTCATTGGAATCCAACGCACCAGGTTTGGACTTGGAGAATGAACCCCTGTTGGCTGGTGTTAGCCATTTCCAAGCATAGCATACAAATGGTGCAAATGTTAGGACTTTCTATATTCTGAAATTCACCCTCACCATAAATCGGATTCTGAAAGAAGTGCTGCTTATAATTTAGTTTTGTGTATGATGAATCGAAGGTATCATAGTGTCTTGAACTCTATCAGTAGCTTTCTTTGCCTATAAAAAGAAAACATACCATGAGATGACATCAACCAAAACTTATACACCATGCTAAAATAAACTTATTGACAGGGTAGAGGATGTTTCCTCTTTCTCCCAATTAGTACATATAGTTATGATCAAAAAAATTGATGCTTGTGCAAATAGTGCCACAATAATTCCAATCCAGAGCCCCTGTGAATCAAGGGGAAAAAAAAAGTTAACCATGTAATTGTATTCTTGGAACAATTAGACTATGGTATTGCAATGATGCCAGAAGAAAATGTGATCAAAAGCAGAAGATGTGCTAGTATACCTTTCCTCCAATATGATAGACAAAGGCCAATAATATGCCACAAGGTATTCCGAGAAGATAATAAGCTCCAAAAGTGACAATAGAACCAATCTTTTGCCAACCACATCCCCTAGCAGTTCCTGCAATATCAATTTTTTGTTCATTTATTAAACCAAAGCAATCTACTTCATAATTGATCAATTTGGCAAACCATCACTTCAAAATCTAAAGATTCTCATTGTTTTTATGTAGGCAACAGAACCATCCAAGTTTCTCATTTTATGCGCCTGATTGTTTCATTTTCCACCTAGATGTGCTCAATTGTTTACAGTGAGATGTTGGTACATTAATGCCTATGCCAATGCGAATAGTAGCAAAACGAAATTCAGAATGTTGGTCCACACAGCAGGAATCTAAAATGGCATTGAAGCAGTGCTTGAGCAAAAATGCTCGGTATCATGAAACAGGCATAATGTACAGCTTCAGCCGATATTTCCGGATCTTGTCCCAAGAATGCAAGAATGTGTCCTGCATTGGCCCAACCACATGCAAGAGGAATGCAGACCAACAGCATAACAACCATTGCCCTCTGCATGTGAATGCCAAGCATATGATACTATTTTGCTCTGTAGGACTGACCGCAGAATGTATCCAATGCACATCCCATTCCAATCTATTCCAAACAATAAAGATTAAGGAGAATAAAAAAAAAATCGTAAAGAAAAGGTATATTGCCATGGAGTGTGTTCTGGTGCGTAAGTGTTTGATAAAATACAAACCTTATGGAAAGAACTGAAGTTTCCAATTTCAGGTTAGGAAGGAGACAAGACAATAGAACCATCATTTCAATGACCAAATTTCCAAGCTGTGCAAAGATTCAAAACAAATGAACCTCCATAATAATACAAACGCGTTGTTCAAACAGTTTCAAGGTAAAAAAACAAATGAACACCAGAATTACCAGAGCATAACAGCTGAAGGAATTGCAAGCTTAAGATAACTCGGAATACCATACAATGCCTCCCTTGAAAATCCAGTCCAAGTATTCTTGCAGGAAGGAGAAATCCTAACATAAATCGCCAACAACAGGACATTGATCCAATAAGATATAGCATTAGCCAATGCAGCGCCTTTGTTTCCAAGGCCAGATTTAAAAACCAGAAACCAACATATGAAGAAGTGCAGTAGTGTCGTGATTCTGCACTTAACATCATCGGCACAACATTGAAGCAGTGCATGAGCAAAAATGCTCGGTATCATGAAACGGGCATAATGTCCAGCTTCAGCTGATATTTCCGGATCTTGTCCCAAGAATGCAAGAATGTGCCCTGCATTGGCCCAAACGCATGCAAGAGGAATGCAGACCCACAGCTTAACAACCATAGCCCTCTGCATGTGAATGCCAAGCATATGATACTGTTTTGCTCCGTAAGACTGACCGCAGAATGTATCCAATGCACTTGCCATTCCAATCTATTCCAAACAATAAAGATTGAGGAGAATAAAAAAAAAATCGTAAAGAAAAGGTATATTGTCATGGAGTATGTTTGGAAGAGAGTAGCCACAATTCAAGTATTTTTGATGAAAAATTCAATGATTGAAATCAGAGAGAAAATTATTCACAAAAAAATTCGGTGACTTGCTCTCAAATTCAAGTCAATTGACTTCAAGAAGGCCCATTTTTTTTTTTGTTAATTCCTTTTTTTTCCCCAGTTTGCGTTCTCATGGTAGCGTTTGTGGCTAACGCCGCTACTCGTGGCGTTTGAAATAAACGCCGCTAACTCATTTGTGGTGAAGCCGCTGCTTTATGACCAGATGCTCGTATACAGAGACTCTTTCTCTCTCGCAATTTCCACCTTCAAAAGCGTAGTAGACACTTCCAATTACTTGATTACAATTAGTTGAAAGTCAATTTCAATCTTTAGGTATTTATAAGATGAAGAAGCTCAGAGAGAATTCTACTGGCAGTATTCAGAAGAAGAAAATGTCGGTGCAGAGTAACTCGACAAGCAAAGCTCTCTCGGAAAATCGAGGATGCCGTCTATGCCGCCGTTAGGGCCAAGACTCCTGATCCTGTTCTCTTCATCGTCAGTTTCCTCTCCCTCTCCCTCATTCTGTTTTGTTTGTTGATTCTTCGATTTTCCGGAATAAGTTTAGTTTTAATGTATGCGTATATACTCGTTGATTCTCTCTCTCTTTTTGGGTGCTCTGTTCAACCATCAATGGTGGGTTTGGCGCAAAAAATGGAGGGTGTTTGGTAATTGTATTTGTCTTTCGTTTTTTGTTTTTGTTTTTAATTTTTGTCAAAAATAAAAGCAAAAACATATTTAAGTACTGTTTTTTTTTTTATATTAAATTTTTGGAAATAAAGACAAAAATGAGAACAAAAAAAGATATTTTAAGAAACACCAAAACGGAGACAACACGCGCAAAAAAGAGTGTGAATTAATGAGATCCAGATTTCGACTCCTCTTAACAATAAAACAAGTCTTTTTTTTGTTGAAGTATAAAAACTCATTTCACCTCCTCTCTCCTCCCCATCGCTTCGCTGCCTCCTTTCTCTATATGAAACCCAGAAGCTGTGAACCCACCTCAATCACTATCTTTCCTCTCTCCCTCTTCTCTGTGAAACTCATAAGTTGTGCATATATATGCACATATCATTGTCTCCAAACAAATCGTTGTCTCCTCTCTCCTTTCTCTATATGAAACCCATATCCATCACTACCTCTCTCCTCTCTCCCTCTTCTATGTGAAATCCAAAGTTGTGCATATATATGTGTAAATCTGTGCATATATACACAAATCTGTGTATATATGCACAAATCTATGCGTGTGTGTGGATATCAAACATATTTTTATATATCAAACAGATTCTTTTGGCCTTCCTTATTTTTTTAGCAATGAATTTGATTTCGATGAGTTGATTGCTTTCAGGGCCATTGCTTGGTTGGTATGCCCTAATTTCTTTAAATTAGTTCATATATAGTATATCTAGACATACATGAGAGATTATAGTTGTAACTCTGTCATATGGGCTTTGAAAGGTAATGTTGCTAAAGCTATGGGAATGAGTTCAAACTTGACATATTTGTACTCAGTTTACTGCTATTTGTATGATTTATCTCAGTTCAAATGTGTTATGAGCTTAAGTTTTCCATTTTGTCCAACTGTAATTTAAATTTTTCTACGTAATATATATATTGATGCATGCCAATTTATGATCAAAAAAAAAATGTGTTATAGGGTGAAAAATAAAACTCGAGCTACAAGTCAAGCTTGTGACATTGGTGAAGCATTTGGGTATTCGGTGAATAAGAAGGCTAGAATTATGTTTATTGGTTTGTTTATTGCCTTTTGGTTAAGTGTTGTGGGTGCATGTGTTGCACCTGACTATACTTTTGCCAAAAAAAGTATGATATCAAACATATTTAGGATAAAATTTGAAGTGAATACTAAATATATTTTTTGTTTTTATTCTCATAATTTGATAGACAAAAATGACTTTCAAACATGTTTTTTGTTTTAGTGTTTATCACAAAACGCAGATAAATTTTTTTTCTATTTTTAATTTTTTTCAAGACGCGAAAACAAAAACGTTACCAAACGATCTCAGAGTTTCTTCCAACTGTAAGTTTTTTTTTGGATCAAGATTAATTGTAGGTTCATCGATGTATTCTTTGTATGTTTATCACAGATATGAGCAATGAAACATACAACAAGCACGCCAAATTGCATACGAAATACAGTTCATACCTTTCGCTAACTTACAACATCGAAAATTCGACTTTTTTCTCAAAGATAACGAGGAGGTCGTTCAAATTTTGGCATTAACAATATTAATTATAATTTTTTAAAAAGATTATATTTTATTTTAATAAATGACATAATATAACATAAATTTTAGTTGTAAAATTTAAAATATTTAATATTTTATCTTTAATTAAAATATTTTTTGTTAAGTGTAATATTTCAAATTTAAAGAGTTTAAGTATTATACGTCTATATATTTAAAGGGTCTGAATAAACATTAATTGCAGCGTCTATGTGTTATGCGCACATACATATTAAAAAATTTGTAAGTAATATTTTAAATATTAAAAAATTTATGTAATTAAGTGACGAACTTTAGGGTTATTGAGTATAATTTTTCCTTTTGTTATGTTTTGGATAATGAACGTGAACAGTGTTAAATACAACGCTCCAACACTCTCCGGTATGTTGGAAAAACGCTTTCTAATTTAATTAATTTACCAGCATTTTCTTAAACGCCTGAAATGTTATAAATGCTTTTGCCAGCGTTTAAATTTCCTTGTAGAGTCCCAACCTAGCATCCCCCCACTCCCCCAGCCCAAATCCACTACAGGCTAACGCATTCCCCTCCTCCCAATCCCAACCCCATATTCTCCACTCCAATTTGTTTTAACTTGTGTATTTCTGTTATAAAGTGAATCAAATATGAAGTGGGCAGTTTTAGATAGAGAATTTTGGCATGCATCTGAATAAGGAGACAGAAAAAAGATGAATCCAACTAACCATCAACTGAAACCAGTAACTGAAGCAAAGGAAGTAGCCATGTGGAAGCACCAGAAAGAGCTAGCTCTCCAAGATGACCCACAAACATAATTGAAATAATCTGTAGACAATTGACTAACAGATTTACTGACACTAAAGGACCTGCTAAAGACAACTGCTTCTTCACTTCTGCAAAAATGACACCTTTGTTGAATCCCTTTCTCCGGTTCACCTCATTTTCTGGAGATATAGAAACTACCGGAGACTCTACCCCTTTTTCTTCTCTCCATTTTTACTTCTCAACTCTCCTGTCACGTAGATAGAGCCAGAGTATTCAAGCATGAAGCCTACCAGTCAGGATTTTATAGAGCTGCCTACTTTGGATAGAAAACATGAGTATGTGAAAAAGGCAGCCACTTGGCACCAAACACCACCCCACCTCCCACCCTCCAAACAAAAACAAAAACACCACCCCAACACCCACCACATGTAAATCCTCACACTCTTATCTTTATATATCAAGTAATTATTTTTGAAATGCTAATATAGGTGATGAGGTATGCATGAACCCTATAGATTTCAATAGTATGAATAAATACTAAGGAGACAAATTTTATTTTTTTTAAATTTAATTTTTGGAGATGTTTAAGGTTGATAAGGGTAAATAAATAAAAATATTAATTTTTTTAGGTCAAAATAATATTATCATTGAACTTGGGAGATTCGAAAAACTTAGAATAACCGTTTAGCACATATAGTGATTTGGAGGAATAAAATAGTAATTTTAGTGTTTCGAGTATAAATTTATTTTAGTTTTGAGATAAATCATAAAAATAAATGTTTTTAGGTTAAAATAACATTAAAAATGAATCATAAACATCGAAAAACCTTAAGGTAGTCATGTGGATCAAATTAGAGATTTTTAGTGACAAAATCGAAATTTTAAAGAAAACTCAAATAGCATGTGAACAGTAACTTCGGGACTACTGTGTTTAAAACATTGATTTCAACCCCTTTACTCCTATTCTTTTCACTCCACTCTCACCCCAAATCTCTTAGCACCCTGGGAGAAGATAGAGGAAAGGGAGAAATAAGGTCTCTAGAGCTTGGGTTTTGGTTTGGAACTTTGATTCAAGGTATGAATTTCTTCTCATTCTCCTACATTGAGGCTAGAACTTATGTATATATGTACTCTTTTGACTCTAAATTCAATATGTATGTTATAAAATCTTTAATTCTTGCAATAAATGTTATGTTTTAAACAATGTGATGGTTGGGTAACCATTAAAGCTCTTTTTTTCATCTTCAAATTTTAGATTTTAAGAAAAATGGATTTTTCTCTCCATATTTCCTTTGTTCTTGATTTCCAAACTTTAGATTTTCCATTAAACAATAAAATGGTATTGATGTTGATTTCTTGTCTATTTTTCTTACATGGTTCTATTGGATAACATACGATAAATTTTGGAGATTTTTGGAATTATGAACTTTTGTTGAGAAATTGTTGGTGATTGTATCTCATGGAGGTATTTGGATGACCATGGGTGGCCATTGACCAGGTATCGTAGAGTGGATAAATGTGTGTGGTTCTTACTCCATGCGGGTTTGAACTTTTTCTACCACTCGTAGTGGGGTTGGTGTCTTACGAGGACCAAACCACTATTAGCTCACGGGTGCCATGTTAGAAGATTAGTATATTATGCCTGGGTCGGATTCGTTATTGCCGGTGCATTGGTATGAGACAATACATCGATAGGCACCCTTCCTGAAGTTTGATATTCTTGCGAGGATTTGTGTGTGTGTGGGCTTGAATATTCTCTGTGTGTTTATTTATGCGATTATCTTACATCAGACTTGAGATACATTGTGATTATTGTTTATTGCGTTATCTTTTGGATATGATTATCTTGAAAATTGTTGTGGGAATGATTACTCTTTGGAATGGTTATTTATGGTGGGATTGGTTTTACTCTTGTACTTAATTATTGTTAATGTATAAACTTGAAATCTTTTAAAAATATCATGTTTTCTTTCAAAATTTACGTATGCTATTTGTGAAATGAGACCGACCGTTTTCTACGTTTTTCAAATCTTGTTAGAGTTTGAGATGATTTTCCTATATGATTTTCCTATAGAACTTAGTGTTCACCCCCTACCAATAATGTTTTTTTTTCAGACTTCGTACTAGAAGAAGATTCCGGAGTTGACGAGCCGGGAAATTGGGAGGCTCCACCAGAAGAAAACCTAGATCCCTAGGTGGACGTTAAAAATTATAGTTTATTTTTGTACTAGATTAGGGAATTTACTTACGAACATGTATAGTCTAGTATTTTGTTTATTCCGCTGTTAAGTTTAAATGTAATTCTTTTGAAATATAATTGTCATAGCTTGACCTATTCTTTTGGGATGATATTGTGGATATTACATATGGTGAATGAAATTTTATTATTTGATGGATTTATTTAGTGCTCTCATGATGTGAATGGTTTTAGATATTAATGTCGTCCAAATAAGATTTTGGGTCATTACAAATCGAACTCATATGGATTGTTTTAATGTTCACTTATAAATGGACCCGGTGTAGTCAATATTTATTCATAAATGAACCCGGTGTGATAGTATAATTACACAGGTTGTATTTTGAGTAGAACTCCCCGTACAAAACAGACTCTGCCCAAATTTTATTAAATTAAAGACCCCAATTTTTGGAGCGTTACACAACCACCATCGAAAAAGGCAGAAAACAAAAAGGGTCTTATAACAAAAAGGCAGTTGTAGATAATGTCCACCCCATCATAAATGTTTTTGGTTTTTTGTCTCATCTCTTTCCACTCAAACGTTTGGTGTCACTATGGAAACCATACTTAATGTAGCAGTAACACTATCGTGTCATCACTATGTCACCAATTAATATTAAATAAATAGGATGAGTCGATCTCACTAAATTTTATAACTATCAATAACTTTGCATCGAGTTTATAGATCAGTTTGAAGAGCTTTCCTGTTATAGGCAAAACCTATAAAATGTTGAGGGGACATTGACGTGGGTGAGAAGTTGAGAAGTAATGAGAGCGGGGAGAGATATTACACCTGTGCGGTGTGTATATATTACAGGTTTTCTTGCCCCAAAGAAATTAAGTTTGTGACTTACTTATCCAATAGTTTTCATTCATTTGGAATTCAAATTTGGGTTGCATAAACTTTTTCACTTAATGAAAGAGAGTGAGTGATAGAAGAAAGAGAGAGAGAGAGAGAGAGAGAGAGAGAGAGAGAGAGAGAGAGAGAGTTAAAATGGAAAACTATCCCATGGTTTAGGCTGATACACTATAAGGATATTTTGGTATTATAAAATAAAAGCTCTAGTTAGTTTGGACTAGAGAACCAATACTATTACTTAAGGTTAACCTAAAAACAAAAAAGAGCTTAGGAGTGGACTTTTGAACAATTTTTATCAAACCTAAGCATCTTAACAAAAAAAAAACTTCAGAACTAGAATGGGAATAGGAAATCGAGAGTAAAAACTCCAAATAAGCTAAAAATAAACACACATATAAATATAAATAAAGAGAAATGTTGTTTGGATCTCATTTGAAGATCTCATATGAAGACTTAATGCGTTATTACAACCTTTGAATTAACAGCGGGTTGTAACATTAAATAAAATTAATTATCCATTCAACAATCACAACACATTATATCTTTAAATTAAATACAAATAATGTTATTAATAAATAAACCCGGGAATTGCAGCTGGTTCAATGCATGTGGCTGTGCTTTTCCAAGAGATGCATTCCATTAGTTAAACTTCTCAGCTGTTTCATTTGTCTCCATCCGACTGATCACTATCTTCTTTCCTTTTCATTTGTCTCCATCCGACTGATCACTATCTTCTTTCCTTTTCATTTGTCTCCATCCGACTGATCACTATCTTCTTTCCTTTTCATTTGTCCTACTCAGTATCTTCATTTGTCTCCATCTTACCAATTGCATTGGCAATGAAAATGACCATTGTTTTAAGTCGTATTTTGTCAAGGGATAGTTATTTCTTATTAAACCGGGAAGTATCATATCTTTTATCATATTTTGGACCTAAGCACTGACAAATTTTAATCGGGTCAAGGGATACATCACATGCTCGAATTTGTGAATTAAATCACTCTAAAATGAGGATATTTGTACCACTACAAGAAAAAGTAGATTCAATTAGGAAATTTTTTTTAAGTAAACGTGGAATATTTTTCAGTAAAATACTTCTACTGAGAAATTTTATTTTTTATCGGAATGTTGTTGGAGGTAGCCGGTCGATGAAAACACTTATTGACAAAATTCGATTTCCTAGGTAAAAAGCATACATTTACCAACAAAATTTGGTTAAGCACATGTTTTTCGAAGGAAAATTTTGCAGGTAATTATCTTAAATTTGGTGGTGAAGTGAAAGGAGTGTGATATTCCCCTAGGAAATTATTTTCCCAGTTAAAAGTAGTACCTTTTTTTAAAAAACATAATGAAATTTATGCAGGATTAAACTACCTGAGATTTCATAACAATACTAAACAATCATTTATTTTATCATTGAAAAATAAATTAAAGAGCTGGACAGTTGATTTACGAGATTATTCAACACCAGTGGTGTGACATCAAACAACAAAAACATAGTCAATAAAGAAAATACTAAATCCCCATCTACTACTAAATGATTGAGTACCTATAAATTATATTACTTAACACCAAAACAGTCTCACTGTTTGTGTCCTCAAACAGTCCCACAAGGTAAACCTCAATAGGTTGCGATCATACCAGCATTAATGCACCGGATCTCATCAGAACTTCGCAGTTAAGCGTGCTTGGGAGAGAGTAGTACTAGGACGGGTCACCCCTGGGAAGTCCTCATGTTGCATCCCTTTTAAAAGAAAAAAAAAAAAAAAAAAGAAAGAGGTAAACCTCAGCAGCCTCTTGCATTGCCGGCATTGCAACCAAGGTCAGTCTGCAACAAAGAACCCAAAACAATGCAATGCTTCGACTAACAGTCTGCAAACCAAAACATAATACTTCATCCGTTCTTAAATATCTGTCGTTTTATATAATTTTTATTGTTTCATAATATCTGTCATTTAATGAAACCAAAGCATAATTAATATTTTTTCTTCTAAATTTACCTTTAACTTTTCAATGCATTAGATTCGATTGAGGCTAAACGTATTTCATATTCCTTTAATTCCCAATAAGTATTGAATAAGGGTATTTTAGTCTTGTGCAATTATTTTTTACTCATATTATAATTATATTAGAGTTATTTAATATTTTCCTTAATCCCTATACAAAAACATTAAATGACAAATATTTAGGAACGGATGGAGTACAATGTTAGTAACTACTAACTTGATGCATTAAATATGCATTGATGTTGTTTAAGCCAAAATGAATGTAATACAGTGGTAAGAGTGTGGCGGCCATAACATTCAAATAAGAGCAGGTCAAAGCGATACCTAATTGCACTGCATCTGTGTCACCTAACAAATAAAAACATCATAACAAGTTAAAATTGCTTGCTTGATTACTTCAAATGCTTCGACTCTCTTTTTGCTTCGCCTAAGCAAGCACTCAAACATGTAATTTTCAAGTTTGGAGGCAACCAACAGTAAAATACATAGGGATAAAAGCATAGTTATGAGATTATATTTCAACCCAAAGCAGAGAACCTGAGCCCTACCACCTCCAGGCAGGCACTTGAGCTTATATTTTCGTATCAAACTTGAATTGGTTAACCACAAATTCCAGACCCTGAGTAGATAGCAGCCCGTACTTCTGATTCCAACTGTTTCTCAGAGCAATTTGAAGAGATAAATCAATTAATATACTACAATCCATGACAGAAAAGAATGCCTGAAATAACAAACAATATACCACTCTTGATAGTTCCATGGTCTTGTGCAGCTTCAAAAAGGATGGAATTGAAATATATGCGCATATACGGAATTAGAGTTTCTTCATACCTTGACAGCGACCATAAGGTTCTTTCAGTTAATTCTTGCACCTTTTCTCTGATTGACCGACATTGTCTACAGGGGAGAATTTTGCAAGGATTTTGTCCTCAGTCGATAATTTATACCTAATGGATGCCCCGACAGAGAGTAAGGTTCGATGGAAGATTTCTTCAAGAAAACAATAGATAAAATCACAGAGAAAGTAGGTTTGAGAGAGAGAGAGAGAGAAAGAAAGAAGATCATCCGATAAATGCATTAAACTATTCTCATCTCCCTCTGCTCACCGGTTCTCAACCGGAACCGGAAGAGAACAAAAGAATACACTTATTGCAGCCCTGATTTTCAATTCTCTTTTGAAAAATGAAAGGCAAACTGATTTTGATTCAGTAGTAAACTGATTTTAATAACATTGTGCCAAGGCTCATCACCCTCTGCAAACATCTAACCTTCTTTAGACTTCACAATGACGAGAGCTTTCTACATTGAGTACGCCCCTTTTTAAGAATGACGTATGTGGAAGGAGTTTAATGATATTCTTTCATCTCAAATATGATCACCAAACCCGTTACCTTCTTACCAAATTCTTGGATTTTACATGTCCAACTTGTTAGAATAAGTGGCTCATATTCAATACATGGAGATACACTAAGTTCAAAGATAGTGAACCATATGCCTTCGGATTTGTCCTGATTAGGGTTGTAACCTATATATGGAATAAAAACAAAGCAAGTACTCCCTCGTGGACGTAGGCAAGTTGTTGAATCACGTAAAATTCTTATGTTTTTCTATTTCTTTGATTGTTCATCGTGCACAAATCACAACACAACTTAATTGCTTTAGGCCAAGAGAAGAAAACTACAACAATATCTTGGCCAGATCTTGTAGTCTTTTTGTCAAAATGGTGGAACCCTTTCATGGCTTTAAAGCCAACGGCTCGGCTTCTGGACAAAATTGCAACATGTACTAACAAAAAATCTAAGTGTTTTTTTTTTTTTTAATCTCACCATTGTATTAGTTATCATACTTTGTATGGACTAGTTATATTATTTTTCAAAATATATATATTAGCAAACATTTAATCACAGATTTGAGGGATGCTTCAGGTTAAAAAAAAAAATTCTACCTTTCTCACCATAAGAAATGAAAGGCATTAGGGTGAATATACAACTCTTACTTTTCTAAATATTTCTGAAAAGCAAGGCGTGTGTTACTGTGCCAATTTCTTCTTATTTTGAAGGTCTGAATTGCTGCATTTGCAATACTTTCTTGAGTTGAGCATACAGGATTGAACATTACAAGCCATTGGAATCCAATGCACCAGGTTTGGACTTGGAGAATGAACCCCAGTTGCTAGCCATTTCCAAGCTTAGCCTACAAATGGTGCAAATGTCAAGACTTTCTAAATTTTGAAATTCACCCTCGCCATAAATTCGATTCTGAAAATGTGCTGCTTATAATTTATTGGAATTCTATGTATGATGAATCTACATGGTTTCTTCAACTCTTTCAGTAGCTTTCTTTGCCTATAAAAAGAAAACATACCATTAGAAGACATCCACAAAAAAACTATACACCGTGCTAAAATAAAGTTATCGACACGGATAGAGGGTGTTACCTCTTTCTCCCAATTAGTACATATAGTTATGATCAAAAGAAGTGATGCTTGTGCAAATAGTGCCACAATAATTCCCATCCAGAGCCCCTGTGAATCACAAGGGGAAAAACAAGTTAATCATGTAATTGTATTCTTGCAACAATTAAACTATGCTATTACAATGATACCAGAAGAAAAAGTGGTCAAAAGCAGAAGATGTGCCTATTATACCTTTCCTCCAGTATGATAGACAAAGGCCAATAATATGCCACAAGGTATTCCGAGAAGGTAATAAGCTCCCAGATTGACAATAGCACCAATCTTTTGCCAACCACATCCCCTAGCAGTTCCTGCAAATCAATTCTTTGTTCATTTATTAAACGAAAGCAGTATACTTCATAATCGATCAATTTGGTAAACAATCAGTTCCAAATCTAAAGATTCTCGTCGTTTTTATGTAGGCAACAGAATCATTGAGATTTCTCGTTTTATGCACCTGATTGTTTCATTTTCCATCTAGATTTGCTTCATTGCTTTGCTCATCTAGTTTTGCTCTATTGTTTACAGTGAGATGTTGGTACATTAATACCTATGCCTATGCGATTAGTAGCAAAATAAAATTCAGAGTGTTGGTCCACACCTGAAAGCACAGATTGGATACCATCCAAAAGGTGGGATCCTGCAAGCAATACCAGCATCTGACTAACATATTTCACCACCATTTCTTCCCTACTATAACAGTATCCCCAAACTCGACGCCCCAAAATCATGGTAACAGCAACTAAAATGCCTTCTGTTGCAACCATGAATATCGAAACACACACTGCTAAACGAGCTGCTTGTGGTTGTCCAGCGCCCAATTCATTTGAAACTCTTATGCTGGCAGCAAGGAAATGGAATATGTCAGTAAATAATATAAGACTAAGAAAAGGACAGGTCTCATTCGATCAAGAAACTTAAAATCACCTTATGGCACCACTGAGCCCAAGAGGAATCATATAAACCATGGAACATGTATTGAGGCTGGAAATTCACCAAACCAATTAGTAATATGCAAACTGATATGATGCCAACAATATAGCGCCATATTAATATTGGTGTTCCGGTGCACAAGTGTTTGATAAAATACAAACCTTATGGAAAGAACTGAAGTTTCCAACTTCGGGTTAGGAAGGAGACCAGACAATAGAACCATCATTTCAAATGACCAAATTTCCAAGCTGTGCAAAGATTCAAAACAAATGAACCTCCATAATCATACAAACACGCGTTGTTCAAACTGTTTCAAGGTAAAAAAACAAATGAACACCAGAATTACCAGAGCATAACAGCTGAAGGAATTGCAAGCTTAAGATAACTCGGAATACCATACAATGCCTCCCTTGAAAATCCAGTCCAAGTATTCTTGCAGGAAGGAGAAATCCTAACATAAATCGCCAACAACAGGACATTGATCCAATAAGATATAGCATTAGCCAATGCAGCACCTTTGTTTCCAAGGCCAGATTTAAAAACCAGACTCCAACATATGAGCAAGTGCAGTAATGTTGTGATTCCTGCACTTAACATCATCGGGACAACATTGTTCTGGGCTTGCAGGAATCTAACATGGCATTGAAGCAGTGCATAAGCAAAAATGCTTGGTATCATGAAACGGGCGTAAAGTCCAGCTTCTGCTGATATTTCAGGATCTTGTCCCAAGAATGAAAGAATGTGCGCTGCATAGGCCCAAATACATGCAAGAGGAATGCTGACCGACAGCATAACAACCATAGCACTCTGCATATGAATGCCAAGCATATGATACTGTTTTGCTCCGTAGGACTGACCACAGAATGTATCCAATGCACTTGCCATTCCAATCTATTTCAATCAATAAAGATTGTGGAGAAGAAAAAAAATTGTAAAGAAAATGTTTATCGTTATGGAGTATGATTGGAAAAGGGCAGCCACTGTTCAAGTATTTTTGATGAAAAATTCAATGATTGAAATCAGAGAGAAAATTATTCGCAAACAAAATCAGTAACTTGTTCTCAAATTCAAGTTAATTGACTTCAAGAAGGTCCAAGTTTATTTTTTCATTCGTTTTTTTTTTCCCAGTTGTATCCTTATGCTGTCAATCACACCTCAATGGCACAAAACATTAGATCTATCTGAAGTTTGAGCTCAACATATTATTTGCTTAATCTATCGCTCCATGATAGAGATTATTGTTAGTTGTTACATTTGTCGATAGTTACTAACGAAGACCATGAGATGCACGGGATTCACACTATTTTCCAACCTAGCATCCCCCCCCCCCCCCACCCCACCCACCTAGCCAGCCCAAATCCACTACAGGCTAATGCATTTCCCTCCTCCCAACCCCGCATTCTCCACCCCACTTGGTTTAATTTGTGTATTTCTGTTATAAAGTGAATCAAATATGAAGTGGGCAGTTGTAGATAGAGAATTTTGAGATATGATATTAAATATGAGTGTCACATAATATTAAAAGTTTAAAGTTTAAATACAAACATAAGATTGAGAGATCAGAGGATTCTAAAATCCCAACATTACCATAAGATATAAGAATGAAGTTCAAAATCAAATGTGCAAATAACACAATTGCATTCCATTTTTTATTATCATTCATTTGCATTCAGTGAGTACTTAAAAGATTAGAGAAATTAATACTCTAACAAAAGCTAAAAAAGATTTGTAAGAAAACATTCCATGCAACAGTTGGCATAGGAGACAGAAAAAGATGAATCCAAACTAACCATCAAACTGAAACCAGTCACTGAAGCAAAGGACGTAGCCATGGAAGCACCAGAAAGAGCTAGCTCTCCAAGATGACCCACAAACATAATTGAAATAACCTGTAGACAATTGACTAACAAATTTACTGAGACTAAAGGACCTGCTAAAGACAACTGCTTCTTCACTTCTGCAAAAATGACAGCTTTGTTGAATCCCTTTCTGGGATTCACCTCATTTTCTGAAGATACAGAAACTAGTGGAAACTCAAGGCCTTTTTCTTCTCTGTCCATTTTTTCTTCTCAACTCTCCTTTCACATAGGGCCAGAGTATTTAAGCATGAAGCTTACCAGAGAGGATTTTATAGAGCTGCCTGTTTTGGAGAGAAAATAAGAGTATGTGAAAAAGGCAGCCACCAAACACCAAACAGCCGCCCCCACTCCCACCACCACAACCATCATAAAGGCAGAAAACAAAAAAAGTGTCTTGGATGACTAAAGTTTTTTGTTTTTTCCTCTCATCTCTTTCGACTCAAATGTGTGGTGTCACAATTCCAAGACCATTTCAGAATATTTGTATATTTGTATTTATAATAACACCTAATAAATTGCAGAATATTTGCATTTTGAAATAAAACGTAATAAATTACAGGAAGTACATCTTACCTTCTCTAGGGAAGCCTTGTACACTAGACCAACCATCTTGAGAGAGAATTCTGAGATTAGTCTTGATTTGTGTATTTAACTTTTTTTTGTTATGTGCTCTAACAATGACATGAAATCGCTTAGAATTGTCTTATGATTAGTCTCTATTTGTTTTTAACAATTGGCATCTATGTGAAGAAATATAAATATTTATTTCTTTTACCCATTAGGAGAAAAAAAAATCAAAGTTTACACTCAGATATACACCAGGGGACCTGTCTTTTGGTACACAGATATACACCAGGGGCCCTCTTGCCATGAGGTTTTTCCCTTAATATTAAACTTCATAACAAACTTTTGGTTGGTCAGAAATACAGATGGTTGATGCATTTTTCCAGCATAAGAAATTCAGAAGAATACAGAAAGAATCCTGGAAGTCAGGAAATATTTATTCAGAAAAGTTTGTCTTCCTGGTCCATGCTCGATATATATATACACGTGAATTAGCTTTGGAATGTGACGCTCATTTAGATAGTACTGGACTAGAGAAAAATGGGTATTCGATCAAATCTGTCTCGTTTGGATAAGAATGTACATCTCATAACCCCATTTGAAACTGAAGACAGAGATGGACGGCAACTTATCCCCAAACCCGTTAGATTTTTATAAATATATATAATATCACTTGATTTAAATATATATAGTATCCTATATAGATGGGGTGGACAAACCGCTTGATTTATATATAGTATCATATATAGGTGGAGTGAACAAATCGCTTGATTTAAATATATATAGTATCATATTGTCACACCCTAATCGACTTAGGTGCAAATGGCCGGTCTTGGTGGCACCTTGCACCAAGGCATGTTAGAAATCGGAATTAAGGTGATGCGGCTAAGTGGTTCGACAGATTGGAACGAACCAAGGCAGCATGAGACCACCCGGTTGAGCATGGGAGCATGGGTGGGCTCAATTGAAGCAATGTGGGTGCAGAGTTTCGGTTTGCATGGCATGGGTTGAACCCAGCATGCACATTGGTTCGTGTAGCAAGGTTGACTGCTGAATGTGGGCAATTGACTGGCACATGGCTGTTCAATACATGTGACCAGGTGGATGTGGGCAGTTATAATGCTGAGACTCAATCAAGGCAATTGCTGAGGCAGTTTTAGACGTCCCCAGTCTGAATCCAGTCTAAATGCATACTGATAAAGGGCAGTTCCACAGCAGTTACTGGAAGTGGTGGAACTGCCTGCCAGGTGTTGCATAGAGACCAAGCCTGCTAGCCCAGTATGCTATGGAATAACAAAAACGTGGGTAACTACCCCTTGGTGGATGGGGGTGTCATCTGCCTTCCTCTTGTATAAATAGGGGTGCTTGAGCATTCTGGAAAGGGGGAGTGTTCTGGCTTTGAGAGTCCTTGTAAATTGTTGAGTTCAATACATAAGATTTGGGAGTGTTGTCCTAGTAAATTCGTGTGTACCTTCTGTGTGAGTTTCTGTCCCTTATTCTTGAGTTTGAGTGTGGTTAGTTGCAATAGCAACGCCTTCACAGGTAGCCTCAAAAGAAAAATAAAAGTTATCATATGACAGTTTGGTATCAGAGCATAGTTTTGGCAACAGATCAACTATGGCTGGCGGAACGAATGTTGATCTGAGGGAAAGGGTGGCACGTTTGGAGGAGCTGGTTGGTCCTCCACAGTCTGGTGATGCTGTAGCTTTCTCTGTGCAGCTTGAGTTGCTATATCAGCGGTTCGAAGAGATGCATGTTGCACATGAACAGCTTCAAAAGACTGAATCTGATCACTTCAGTCGAGTGAAAAACGAAGTCGTTGACGTGTTGGCTACGATCTCCACATGGACCGATGATATGGGGGAAAAATTGAGTTCCCTCGAGACCGACGTTTTAGTGCTTAAGAGGGCATTGTAGAATACCTCTATGGCTTCTGGCAGTGAAAGCACTCAAAAAGCTAAAGTGTCTGACCCTAAGCCTTTCACAGGCAGTCAAAAATGCTAAAGAACTCGAGAACTTTCTGTAGGATATGGGACACTACTTCAAAGTAGTCCGCACTCTGGATGCTGAGAAGGTAGATCTCACTAGCATGTACCCGTCCGGTGATGCTAAATTATGGTGGCGAACACGTTCTGAGGGCAAATCTCGTCCTCCAATTACTACTTGGGAGTCTCTCTGTCCGCTGAAATGAAGGAGCAATTCCTTCCCAGCAACACGGCTTGGCAAGTCCGTGATGCATTGAAGAAACTTCGACATACAAACACCGTGAGGGAGTACGTGAATCAATTCTCGTCTCTGATGCTTGACATTAAAAATATGTCAGAGGAAGACAATTTGTTCAACTTTATGTCTAGCCTCCAAACTTGGGCACAGGCAGAATTTCGTCGGCAAGGGTGAAGGACTTACCCGCTGCTATGTCTGCAGCAGACGCGCTGGTTGATTACAAACGCAGGTTAATCCTCCAGAGAATAAGTCAAAAGGGAAAGCCAAGTTTGCTAAGAAGGATAAGCAGAAGAAAAAGGCTGAGAAGTTTGGCAATTTAGAAAAATAGACTGACAAATCCTCTTCATCAACGGGAGGTGTTGACTCAGGTTTTTTTATCTGTAATGGCCCTCATCGTGCCAGAAATTGCCCCAAAAAGGAAAAGCTCAGTGCCCTCATGGCTAAGGAAACTGACTGTTCTGACGAACCAACACGAGTCAACCCATTACAACTTCTTAATGCAATTCGCAAAGAGGAGACAGTGGCAAAGAGGGGGTTGATATTTGTGCAGATTCACCTGAACAATGTGGTTGTCCAAGCAATGGTTGATACAGGTGCAACCTATAATTTTGTTTCTGATCAGGAGGTACAGTGGCTTGGTCTGGCTTTGGTGAAAGACTCTAGTCAGATTAAGGCTGTTAATTCAAAGGCAAAAACAGTAGGCGACGTCGCAAGAGAAGTCCCTCTAAAAGTGGGTGATTGGCAAAGAACATGTGATTTTATGGCAGTCTCTCTCGATGATTTCCAGGTAATCCTTGGACTACAATTCCTTACAAAGGCAATGGTGTCAGTTATGCCGCATTTACATGGGATGTTCGTGATGGACATGCCCAATCCTTGTTTTGTTCCCCTCACTAAGGCCAAGTCTTTGGGGGAAATGTTGTTTGTCTTACAAGTAAAAGATGGCTTCTGAAATGGGGAGGCAACATACTTGGCCGTTCTATTTGAAGAAGAGGAGTCCAAAGCATTGCAAGTCCCTGAATCAGTGCAACAGTTGTTGGTTGATTTCAAGGATGCGGCACCTAAAGAATTGCCAGCAAGGTTACCGCCAAGACAGGAGATTGACCATGCCATTAAGTTAATTCCATGGGGTAAAAATCCTTGCACAGGCTCCTTATCGAATGTCTCCATCAGAATTGGCGGAGCTAAGGAGACAACTTGGGGGTTTATTGGACATTGGGTTCATTCAACCTTCCAAGGCACCCTATGAAGCTCTTGTTTTGTTTCAAAAAAGAAGGATGGATCCTAACGGCTTTATGTAGACTACAGAGCGCTCAACAAAGTCACTGTCAAGAACAATTATTCAGTGCCGCTTGTCGACGAACTATTTGATAGATTGGGAAAGGCGGTTTTCTTTACCAAGATGGATTTGCGGCTGGGATATCATCAAGTCAGAATTGCAGAGGGAGATGAGGCGAAGACTGCTTGTGTGACAAGGTACGGGTCATATGAGTTTTTAATTATGCCTTTCGGCTTAACCAATGCCCCCTGCTACATTCTGTAACTTGATGACCAATATATTTCGGGAATACTTGGACCGTTTCATGGTGATTTATTTGGATGACATAGTTGTTTATAGCCAGACTCTTGAGGAGCATGTTGAGCATCTTAGGTTGGCCTTGACAAAGTTAAGGAAAGCCCTGTTGTATCTTAAACTAGAAAAATGTGAGTTTGCCCAGAAGGAAATTTCATTCCTGGGGCATATTATTTCTGCGGGTGTGGTGAAGATGGACCCAAAAAAAGTTGAGGCCACTGCAGATTAGCTGTCCCTACTAAGGTTACTGAACTGCGTTCTTTCCTTGGTTTGGCAAACTATTATCGAAAATTCGTGAAGAATTATTCAAAGAAGGTTGCGGTGCTGACTAATCTTCTAAGGAAGGATAGGACATGGAACTGGTCCTACGAATGCCAGGAGGCATTCGATCGATTGAAGGCGGTGGTGACGTCTAGCCCAATTTGACGCTTACCTGATTTTGATTTGCCCTTTGAAGTCCATACAAACGCATCAGACTTTGCTCTTGGAGGGGTGCTGGTGCAGAATGGGCATCCAATGGCATTTGAAAGTAGGAAGCTGAATAATACCAAGAGGCGGTATTCAGTACATGAGAATGAGATGACAGCAGTCATTCACTGCATCAATGCATGGAGGCACTACTTGTTGGGGAAGCCTTTCCTTGAACTGACAGATAATGTGGCTACCAGCTGCTTCAATTCCATGAAGAAGCTGACACCAAAACAAGCAAGATGGCAGGACTTTCTTGCCCAGTTTCATTTCACGTTGCAGTATAAGCCTGACAGTGCAAATCAGGTTGCTGATGCTTTTAGTCAAATCCCAGTTGCTGATGGGATAGTTGCTGCACTTAGCCAGATTGCAGGAGACATACTGCAGAGAATTCAGGATCAGACTAAAGATGATCCAGTGACCAGCTTATTGCTGAAGCAGGTTCACGAAGGGGTGACTCGATGATTTTGGGTAAAGGATGGTGTTCTCTACGCCAAAGGTA